CATTCCAAATGGGAATAGTTGTGCTGCCTAAACTTGACGATTACTGGTCTTCGGCAATTGAAATTGGAGGAAGACCCATCTGTTCAAGGATGCCGAGAAGCAGATTCACTGAATTAATGCGAAACCTGCATTTTGCTAACAATATGGAGAATCACTCATCAAAGACTTTCAAAATCGATCCTTTCATCGAAGTGTTCGTGAGAAACAGCAAATCATTGTACACTCCTGGAAGAAATATATGTATAGATGAGTCGCTCATCCTTTCCGTGGAAGACTGCGATTTCGCCAGTATATTCCCAACAAACGCCACAAATACGGGATTAAAATGTTTAAACTATGTGCCAAAGGTGGATATACCTACAGCATGAAGATTTACAGTGGCAAAGAAGAAAAACCTCATGAAAATACGGTTGCTCAACGTGTTGTTTTGGATTTGTGTTCCGATCTACTGAATGAAGGACGACATCTGTATACAGACAATTTCTACACTAGCGTATTTTTGGCCAGAAATCTACTGGAAAATAACACGCAGCTCATACGATACCACCTGACTGGTCAGCTCATTGGAACCTTTATTGAAGAAAATAAAGAGTGATCCGCTAAGGAGGAATTGTGAAGCAAGAAAAGCTAAAGAGGAAGGAATTCGTCGCTGTGCAGCAAGCCAGAAGAGTAAAATTTGGTACTGAAGTGTGAGAAGATACTTTAGCCAGAAGAGAGGATGCCTCTTCTCACATAGTTATCACCCTATTCCATGATGCGTGATAGGCACAAAATCTTTGCTGAGAACGGCAAACAGAGGAGGCCTCGTAGGACTGAGTTCAACGCAAAGACACCCACATCGATCAAAATGGCTGAGTATTGCCCTTATGCAAGAAAAGAGCATCCAAATCGGATACCTCAGCGAATACTTCTTTCACATTATCGACGGCAGACCGCGCAATGGTAAACGTCTTGCACATCTACGAGGAGCAGCTTCAAAGAAAGATGAAAATTGTGGATTTCAAGCGCCAGATTGTCAAAGAATTAATGACGGATAACATCCCTACAACAAGGAAAAGACATCTACTCGTCCCAATCGAAGTCAACGGCAGAAGTCTATGGAGAAGATGCAAGAATTGTTACGCACGAATATCCGCTGAACATGGATCGAATGTTGCCAAAATGCGCACTAAACAGGTCAAAACTCAATGTGATCGATGCAAGAAGCCATGGTGCTTGGAATGTTTCCAGACTTATCATCAAAAGTGTTGCGAATCAACAACATAAGTGTTTGTTATCATATTGAATAAAACACTGTTCGAATATGTAAATCAACACTGATTGTAAATTATAATGTATTGTAACTTAACACTAATTATCACTCGAAGTCTTCCTAACATTGTATTGATGCGGAGCTACCTTAAGAAGTGCAATTACCTTGCCTTTGTCTGTTTACTTTTTGTAGAGGTGTTACAATAAATCGCACCTCTCAATGAGCCACGGCCTTATTCCCCTCACCGCCATCAATGCGACTAAGAATACAGCTCCAAGCTCACTGAACTTATATCATCCGGCCTGGACGACACCGCGATTTCTTACTCCACCATCCTCCTCAAGATACCACGCCACAACGACCACCACAACGTGAACTCTTCGTGGGCAATACACAAATCGCGACGAACAACCGGGGTAAAGCGCAGTGCTCATCTGACCTGAACATTCACGCACCGGCGTTCAACGTGTTACATATGCACTACACCATATCCATTCGTGAAGAGCTTATTGAGTGGGTGCGCATCCTACATCCCATCCCGAAGAGCCGCGTGCAAGCACCAACGCATTCCGCAGGAATTTTCTATCACGATCAGGGTATATCTCGTGCGCGCGTTTGCGTGTTATCATGATAAATCTCGCGAGAGTTCCGAGAAAGACCATAGGTCCCTTGGACCTATTTCACTATGCAGATGGATGCTGCTCAGCGAAGATAAGTGCCAATTCGAGCAGCAGGTGCAAGCTTGGTCTGATCGCCTGACAGAATTTGGACTGAGGTTGAACATTAAGAAAACCATGTACTTGACGACGGACACTAAATGAATCCGATTCCATTAGGATCAGTGGCATCGAGCTCACACGCACAAGAGCCTTCAAGTATCTTGGATCAGAAATTGTGTCCGATGGCAGTCTGACCTCAGAGGTGAACTCTCGTGTGAGTGCAGCATGGGCGAAATGGCGCTCGATGACTGGAGTTCTCTGTGACAAGACCATACCAGAGCGCCTCAATCGAAGATCTATAGAACTGTGGTCAGAACAGTAGCGTTGTACAAAACTGAGTGCTGGCCTGTAACCAGGGAAGTTAAAAGCCCGTCTTAGCGTGATGGAGATGAAAATGCTACGTTGGGCAGTTGGAGTCACGCACATGCATAGAAGACGCAAGAAATTCGGCGTGGCTTCTATAGTTGACAAAATGCGAGAGTCTCGTATCCGATGGTATGGTCACGTACTCCGCGCGAACGCGACCACCGCTCTCCAGCTTGAGGTGCTCGGCAAACGACCTAAAAGACGTCCCAAGCAACGCTGGCTAGACACACTGCATGCTGATTCTAAGATAGTTAGTGCCCACCCTGATCAGGCATCCTACCAGAAGAGACGTAGTGAAGTGAGAAGAGCGGACCCTGCTGCAGAGCGGGATAAACGCGAAATAAGAACGTGCGGACGTAGTACATTCAGCAAACACTTTGATGCTAATGGTTCAGATATGACCTGTATGTATAATACATATGTTTAGATTTTCTGGAGCGGGCTATCTTTGCTGCTGACGTGCTCTATTATTTCAAGGGCGAGCAGTGTATTAACAGCAATCGCAGTGAGTTTAGTCATGTAGCACCGTTCTTCAAATCTGCATTTTACTAAGATTGAGTCATATACCCACACTTGAAACTCCCTACTGAACGTTAGATTGACGTCCTGTCCAAAGACATACTGTGCCTTTGCATATTGTGGATGGTTGCGTACAATTACAAATCTTTTATCACTAATTGACTGCCTAGGAAAGCGGGAAGGGATAAAAGTCTTGGAAAAGCATTTTGTAGCCTTTCAGGACCAGCTCCTGATCCTCTTGTTATGCCAACAAGCGATATCAGGCCGCCTTTGTCTCACTAGTCGCTTTCCAGACTCATCCAATGCTAATACCATTAAACTGTGAAATAATACAAAGAAAACCCGGTGAAGTCATGATAAAATAGGGCCCACAAAGAAAAACCCGGTGAAGTCATGATAAAATAGGCCCCTGGTTTTTGCCGGGGGGGGGTCGACGTCAGAACTGCCACTTATTAGTGCCACGACGCCTCCGTTGCCTAACGTGAACCAAGAAGGTGGACGGTGACTATAGATTGAAGACCAGACTAGCTGTTCAAGAAAGGACGCTCACCGCTTGCTTGAGCACGGGAACTGCTCATGAACTGAGTGCCTGAGTGACAGCGATTTCGGTCCACACTATAATTAGGCTACGCACCCTGCCTCAATAGTTCTAAATTGAAAAAAAGAAAGATGCACCAAAATCCAAATTTTCCGTGGGGCACTAAGTGAAGTGAAATTATCCCGTTACATGTGCTGTTTTCTAAAGCACTGAACACGATAATAGAAAAGATTATTGATTGCGAATGTATGATGCATTTGACAATTTAATTCTGCGTCCATTCTTGAAAGATTTGCGACCTCAGCAGGAATTGTAGCGTCTTTTGCCATTTATACAAGCTGCTTCTAGAGCACTGTCAGCACTGTGGGAAGAGTGGGTGGGCCATTATGAGCAGCACCAGTTCCAGTCTGATAACTGCTGCAGGACAAGCGTGCACGTGCGTTTGCTGATGTTCTTCTTTGATTTATTGATGCAACACCCCTACGTTTATTATTGCGCTGTACTGCAGGTCGCCCTCGGACTTCGAACTCAAGCGCGTGCTCGGAAACGGTGCAATGAGCACCGTCTTCCGAGCAATAAACAGGCGCACAGGAGAGCCTGTTGCCATCAAGGTAAGCACCAAGAACAATATAATCTTGAACTGGACGAGAGCCAGCAGGGATGAGCGACATTTCTTCTCGGAATTAACTCAGAGGAGCTACACGTTATCTTCATTATCTTCCAGGTGTGCAAGAAGCCCGAGGACGACGACAAGTTGGCAATGCTCGAAATGGAGGTCATGATCCATGCGGAGCTGAGGTATTGCACTTACCTCCCTATTACTGAGGGACCTCGCTAGCTTTATCTTTAAATGCTCTAATCTTGCGAGTTTCTATATGTTTTACTGCGCGATTCTTCACAGGCACATCTGTCAGATTTCGGGACGGTGAACTGAAGAAACGACGTGTTTTTTTCCTGCTTCAGGTGTTACGATGGCAAGTGGAGTGGCGGCGAGCGTTGCAGATCCTGTTCCGTTTCCATTTCTTGTTGAGGCCCTCCTTCAGTGTATAGTTTTGCAAGTTCTACGCCAATGAGTATGTAGCTGCCGCTGGCTCTGCGAATATTCAGCAAATCAACTCGGCTGTGTCAAAAATAGGTGCAGCTTGGTGACCTTGGTGGTCTCCCCCTTTTCTCAGAGGTTGTGAATGAGCTGAACAGGTCATTTATATTACTTTCCGTTTTTGATAGCGACATCTTTCAAAAGCCAGTGAAGAGGAAGACGAAAAAGAAGAAGAAGAAGAAATTGAAGAAGAAGAAGAAAATGAAGAATAGACGAAGGGTGTGATGAAGGAAGAAGTGAAGTGGTTCATTCACTGACAGCCTTGGATCTTTGCTTCTCTAAAGCGTTCTTTTCTCTCATCAAAACGGAATCTCAAGCAAAGGAAGGAAGTCCGATCGCGGTAGAAAAAGGAGAACGTCGCAGTCGCTGAGTCAATCTTCAGGATTGAAGACGACGTAGTCGTTACCCACTGCCCACCAGAAAACTCCTATATCCAGAATAGGGAGCAAGGATTCAGTCCGTGAATCAGCATGCATAGTGTTCGCCAAAACGATAACCCGGACGGCTTTTCGCCCTACTCATTTCATTCCACACATGTGAATTTGTTTAGACTTTCTTCTGGACCGACTCGGCGTTCAAGTCGTCGATGACGACCCAGAAAAGATAATGCCTTTTCTAGGAAACTTTTGCAATTCCGTCTTGAATACGTCTACCTCGTCGAGCTTGTTGATACGTTGTCTTCGCAGGTTGTGGGAGTGGGAATTGAGGCAGTCAGTCTTTGACCGTGTTTTTCAAACCGCGATGTTTTCGTGCAAATCAATGTTCATGGCAAAGTGCGTGTTAGTGGGAGCCCACATCGCCAAGGCATATGTTTTCGCATGTTCTGGGAAACACTTCTTCTGCAGTTTCGTTGGCGACGTGTGATAAGCAGCTTTCTTTGTCTCGATCATTCCGAAGCGGTCATAACTGGCCTGCATATCTGGCTTGCACCATCAGATCATCAATGTGAAGATCGGATGAAAGTGGCTCTACTCGTCATCCCAGCCCCCAACAGCTTTCTCCTTCGTAGGCCCTGAGATTCTAACAGCCCGTTTGGGAGGATCAAATCAAAGCTGCCCTAATCGTGGTACCTCAGGAAGATGTGCTCCTCTATTAATGCTCTTGCATTCGTGATGACCACGCAACCTGCCACTTGACCACTTGTGTCCCTGTGAGCCCTGATCCTTTTTAGGCGTGGATAGGTAATATGATGGTTGCGAGTGAAGAAAAAAGCCATTGACGCAGTTGAAATCTTACTGCCTGACCCCTTCACTTTTAGTGGGGCAGTCCTTCTGAACCATACTGAATCCGAAGAGAGTCAATCAGTACAGTTGTCTCCGGCATTAATAGAGCACTAGATCCCACTAGATCACATTCTATTTCAGACACCCGAACGTACTCGGGCTACTCGGCAACTTCGAGCGAGACGACGCCGTGATTCTAGTGCTCGAGTACGCTTCGGTGAGTGTTTAAGATCTTTGCTCAACTCCCTCCGACCCTACTACTCAAGTGCATAGTTACTTACTCAGGGTGGATCACTGCAGAAGCACCTCCGCAGGAAAGGGCGCTTCGACGAGCTGTCGGCATCTTTGGTACGAAACTTGATTTGATTGATGGAGTCATCTCTTCGCTCTCGACTCGAGCGTCTTAAGCACTATTTTTCAGATCATACAGCAGACGGCGAGCGCCCTCGAGTATTGCCACAGCAAGAGAATTGTCCACCGGGATGTGAAGCCGGCGAACATCCTGGTCACCGGCAATGGTGTTGTAAAGCTAGCCGATTTCGGCATAAGCGACATTGTAATCCCCGGCACGTACGTTTTTCTCCTTCAGTCACAGTGCAAGTAAATTTTAAAGTAGGCTAAACATGCGGCTGAAATTTACGAGATTGCTGGCGCAACCTGCTTTCAGAAGCAACTTATGGCCAGGTAAATTTTGTAATGCTGCGTAGGGTGAAAGCTTGGTGGTGAGCTTCGAAGCGTAAGTGAAGGATCGCATACGTTCACGTTGGTGTTTTCAGTGGTAAGGTTCGACGTTCGACGACACG